CTGCTGCCCCGCTTCAAGCAATAGAACTGATCCCTCTGGGCAAAGCAATCTCGGCGTCTCTGATTCGAGCCTTTCGTGAGCGGGTACTAGGTCACTTCGGAGCACCGAAGAAAATGTTATGCGATACTGGCACCCAATTTATTAGCAAAGCATTTCGAACCATTCTAGCAGGAATAGGCGTCGAGCTCCAGTATACACCTAGAAAAGGCCTTGTTATAAATATTCAACAGGAAGCTACCATGGAACAAGAGATATTCGACCTTTGCAACGACAGCGACCGCCACGACCACGCGAACGCCAGCACTCCTCACCCCGAAGAGAGAACTTATAATTCTCGCCGAGGGACGACAGAACCGGCTACGGAGGCTTCCCCTACTTAGAGAACATCGAGAGATACGCCATCTGGCACAGTCACTGGACGCAGCTTCTACAGGTGCATTACAACTCAAGCTAGGTACGGATGCCTTTTCGACCAACTGAGGATCCGATTGTAGAGCTCCCAATCTCGCCAGACCCGAGCGAGGACGAGACAGCTATCGACCTGACGATCCCACTGTGCGCCGCTTTTAGCGCTGTGCTGTCTTCAGAGACTTCAGCCACCCTCGACTTGACGTACGCCGCCAAAAAAACCTCAGCCAACCGCACGAAACACGCCGTTTTTAAAGCTGCGTTGCCCACTGACCACTCAATCAACGGTCAGGCACGTCAGTCAGAGCGCGCACACTCCGATCCTGAAGCTGCCATCGGCTCAACACACACCACTTTTTACGCTGCTTTGTACCCGCAGACCTCAGCCACCAGCCTGGCGCGTCAGTCAGAGCGCGCATACTCCGCTGCTGACACCGCCCTGGTCCTAAAGCTCTCATCAAAGGGACCCACGCAGCTTTCAAAGATGATGCGAGCAGAAAGCATCAATGCCGCTCACAACGCATTATGTTAATACACTAGATTTAAAAAAAGATTGTGAAATCATTATATGTTACTAAGATTAAATTTAAACTTAAGCGCACCATATGCTCCGCGCCCGGAACAACGTGGCCGTTTACTCCAGGCCTTGACCAACGTTACCTGCGCTCTAATCGTTCAATACGCTGACTGTTTGACAGTGCAAGACCTTGTACCTTGTAACTGACTCCGTTGCTAACGGCCCTTAAGGCTCGATAACCAATTTTAATTAATTAAGTAAATGTTGACAGCCAACGCCAGAGTTTTATATTCAAGCCAATGCTCTTTATTAAATGTCCAAATTAAAACTGAAAACATATATGACTTTACGTAAGCTATGCGCGGCCGGCAAGCCGACCGCTCGTGCACCAAAGTGCTGACACTAGCAAAATCAACATAACTCACCATACCGTGAACCGCTAAGAACCAGGCACGGTCTCTAAAGATATTTATGCAACTAAACACTAGGGTGATCCAATAATCACCCAAGTTCTGAATCGACTTATGATTACTCCTTAACAGTAAGGAATATGACCGTCCTCGGTCATCTGGAATCTCTCGTCTCGTCTCCTCCTCAGCATCATGATGAGTAGGAAGGAGCAGCTAATTAGAAGACTGGCTCCCAAGCCGACCGCGAACCAGGTGTCGATAGTTCCAGCCGATTTCACTTCTTCCTTAAACTCTTGGATAACCTCCAAGTTTTGGTTGTTAATTCTTTGGAGAAGTGGCATGCTTAGTGTGGGAGCCGATGATGTTGAGTAACGGTGATGCCGCCATGCCCGAAGTTTTTCCTATGGCTTCACGTTGGTTTGAGTATTTGGTGCCATTGATGAAAACCACTCGCTCGAACGTAATGAGGTGTGAGCCGTTGGTGACTATTTCAGGGCCGTCATCAGTGCTGACTTTAGCTGGGCACTCGTTGACTATTATTACTCCGTCATATATTAACGGGATGGGGCTTAGGTGGCTGGCTTGCGACTCGCATAGTGCGGTACTCCCCGCGTGTATGCCTCGAGCACAAGTGTCATGGGCTCCAGCTTGCAAAACGACGCGTAAATTATTGTTACGCAAGATGTCGCTATTGCATTCGGCAACTGTGTTCTGCTTCAATTGCAGGATGGTATGTTGGTGTGATACAGGGAAGATCGTGACTTTTTTACAAATAGTTTTAATCTTAAGATATGCGATTAGCACATAGAATATACTATCGGACTGAAGGACTCTAATGTTAGACGCCTTTTGTAGGCTAATGATGGGAAATTCTGTGAGGTGATCAACAAATACAGACTTCAAATCATTTTGATTTAAAATTGCTGGGTTTATGATGTTGGCTTTTGCAAGTGTGACTGTAACCATTGCGTTTTGAATTTCAGTTATTAGTATTCTATTTCTGGCCAAAAGTACCTAGTAGGGAAGTGTCAACTATATTATTTTGTTATGCCTTGATAATTTTATTAACGGCCTCTGTTAATTCATTACGTTTATTCTGCGTCTGCGTATTTATTATAGCCTGCCGGTTATATGACTCAATTAAACGTGCCTCGGACACTTTAAGCATATCGAAGTCGGCCGCATCAGGTGTGTCCGCAATTACTTTGAATGCGGTGCCAAGAAAGTCTAGTCTCCTAGCCATCCCATGGTGTATTTTTAAAACTTCTAACATGTTCGGTATCGACGTCTAACAATTTTTTCATATGAGACTGTGGGAATAAATCTGACAACCTAGTAGTTTCTTAATTGAAAATTTGGACAAATTACTTGAATGCCGAAGCAAGTTTCTCTGTTCCCAAAACAAAACAGTAAGAACGTGGATCAGCGCATTGAACGCCAAAAACAACAAGACGAAGCCCGTGAAAAAACTCAGAGAGCGCAAGACAAACGTCGTCTCTCCTTGGCCCGTAACAATGCTTATTTCTCTTTCACGAGTAATACTCTAGAGCCGAAAGCGCAAGAAAGTGCAAGTTTACTGACCGCCGAAAACCAGAGAGCTAGTTCTTCCTCTCCCGCCCTACTTTTCACCGCTCAAACGCCATGGAGTGAGCAATGCAAAACTTCAACCGAGCTTCTGCCACCTAGTGCAACAACAACAGCAACTACTACGTCAACTACAACGGTCTCTGTCGCCAGCAATGGGTAAAGCAACAACACAACCAAGTGTAAAAATCGGGTCAAACGGCAAAACAAAGCTACGGTAGGTGATATGTCAATTCCGCAAGCGGGTTCGGCCATGCAGACAGGCATGAATCGCTACATTAATATTTCCAAGCGCAAGCTAACACCCCCAAAAAAATCTGACGGCAATATGCCCAAAATAAACCGTACCAACAAAGGCCCTGAAAAACTCGGGCCATTAAATGAAAATTGATTTTCCATTCTGGCGGAGCTTGAAACAGAGTCTGAAGAATTAGCCCCAAAGAAACTTAAGCCCCCACCTATCTATGTTCGGGAGAAGGTCTCCAATGTCCTAGTCAACAAAATTGTTGAGCTTGTCGGAAAAGATAGCTTTCATGTTATTCCGCTTGTGAAAGGGAATATAAGCGAAACCAAACTTCAAACCAAAACAGAAGATGACTTCCGAGGAGTGTCGAAGTTATTTAACGATGTCAAAAAGAATAACTACACGTACCAGCTGAAAATTTGCAAAGGCTTACAAGTTGTGCTCGAAGGAATAGAACCCGATGTGACCCCCTCCGAAATTATAGAGGCTTTAAAAGAAAACGGTTTCTGCGCAAAAAATTTTATAAATATTATGAACAAAAACAAGAAGCCGCAACCACTTTTCAAGGTCGAGCTGGAGCCAGACAGCAGAACTTTGAAAAAAAACGCAGTGAACCCGATCTACAAGTTGCAGTACCTTCTGCACCGTAGGATCCCAGTAGAAGAGCCGCACAAACGGAACGGGCCATTGCAATGCCAGGAATACGGACACACCAGGGCTTACTGCACCCTCAGGTCAGTTTGTCTAGCTTGTGGAAACTGCCACGGCTCCGAACCCTGCCCTGCCAACAAGGAAGACTCTAAAAAGTGTGTAAACTGCGTGTGTGTGTAAACATACTACAGATGCTGTCCAGTCTACAAGGAGATGCAACGAGCGACAAGGGTACGCCAGAACAGTTATATGAAATCACAAACGACACCGGAAGTTTTCTTCGCAAAAGAAGCCAGGTCACAATTTGGGCATTCAATTACCACCAACGGCATTTCCTACCCCAGTGCTGCAAGATCAGGCACAGCTCACATAAAGCCGAAAATTGATAACATACAGCAGGCCATGGGACAGCCACAAAGTAACATGGAAACTATGATGATAACTTTGCAACAAAATATGATGGAATTTATGTCCTTCATGAAAACCACCGTGGAAGCTCTAATGCAAAACCAAAATATCTTGATACAAATGCTTGCAGATCAGCAGTCCAAATAAATTTTGCCTAGCCTTCGAATAACTCTGTGGAACGCCGTCGGGAAAATACCAAAATAAGATATGATAAGATAAATAAGATCGATAAGATTCGGTGGTGACACCGACTGTTGATAGCGGGAGAGGATCTAGCTATTTAGATTTAGCCCGGTTCGCTCGTTAACTGGGTTAAATGGCCTTGGATACGTTCACTGACCCATTTTGGGAGAGCGGGAGGGAAAATGGCGAGCGACTTTGGTGTAGGTCAGGGTTTTGCTTTAGTTGCTGCAAGAAGTAGTAGGAGAACGGTCGGGAAAAAGGTTAATACAAAAATTCGTAATTAGTGTTTAGATAACTCAAAGTGAGTAGTTATTTATTAGTCCTAAACTTGTAAGTGACAGTGTTTTTTTTTTTTAGTATTGAAGCCGCCCGGGACCCTATCTAAAGGACCCCGGAAATTTAGAGGATTCCGGAAGGTCAACACTTACCAGGCGGACCTAGCCTAGTCGTGAAGACCACGTCGTCCACCAGCAGCAGCGATCCGCTCCAGCAGCAGCGATCAGCTTCAGTAGCGGCAGCGATTAGTGGCATCAGCCGCAGCAGCATTAGCAGCAGTGATCCGCCGCAGCAGCACCAGCCGCAGCAGCATCAGCGCAGCAGCATCAGCGATCAGCAGCATCAACAGCCTTCCGCGTCAGCCACTTACGGAGATTCCCTCGGTGAGTCCGTTCCGGGAACGAATACCCGCGCTGACCACCTGATCATCTCTGGGACCACCGACGCACTGCCTCCGGGCCCTCTGGCGCAGACGCTGTGTGAATCCTCCGGACCACTTGGCTCCGTGCAGACCCGGCTTTTGCCGCTAGCGGTCTCTTCTTCTGATCGCAGTTGCGACAATGACCAACGTTGAACTCAACGTTTCAAAGCCTTCACTGTGAAATCTAATCTGGAATTAGAGGCATTAATTCCGCACCCCAGCCGAGCGTCCAACTACGTTTAAATTGGGTTGCTAAATTTTATGAATTAAGGGATTTATTTGTCGTACTTACCCTTTTAGCACGTCCTTTCTTTTCCCTTGGAGCTCCTCAGGATTAGGTGACCCGGTTGGCAAACGCCTCCAATTTGGTAATTTGTAATTTTAAGCGTCCAAAAATTCCCCTTCCATTATCGCTTTGACCACTTCTCATCTAGGCGACGCTCTGAGTTCGGCCTTAAGTGTTGCTAATGAAAAGAGTAGATTACGAGTAGGAATTAAATTTGAATGTATTCTATAATTAGTCTTGCCCAAAATTAAATGTAAGCAAGCTACCGAGATGGTTGTGTGAGTTACCTTGGGCGGGGAGATGAGCTGATCCTGATCCACCAGGAATAGACTCCGGTCCGAAGCCACCAATTTCGTCCAATTGTCTTAGTTTTTGATGTAAAAAAAAATACCTTGTTTGTTTTGATTTGTGATAGTGATGGTAATCGTCAAGTCAGTGACGTGAGACGTCCGATGTGTCGGTATCGATTGATTGGACTGCAGGGCATAGGGGGTACTCCGCCCTGGGACTCCGTGGCTAGCCGGCGCTGCCCTCCGGGAAAAATGCAGTTCCATAACAATATGGCGCCCAAATTTAACAAATAAATATGTGATAGCCGAGTCGACGGCGTCTCGCATATTTATATCTCCAGCCAGCCGACGAACGGTAGCTTGCATGACCCACATGCAATTGCACCGACTGGTGGAGAAAATTTAAATTTTGTAGGAAGAAAGGGAGGCGTGTCCACTAGAGGTAGGACAATTGCTCCCGAGGCACAGTTCACAGGGCTTAGCTGTGATTTGGCGGTGACATCCTCTTCGAAGGAAATCGAAGGATTCGCATGCCAGGTCGTCCGTGCAATAAGCACGAAAGGTCAATCCAAAAACTGTGATAAAACTGTGATATAGGTATTAGGGACATGTTTTGTTTTGGGGTGTCAGTGTAGTTGTTTGTTTTGTGAAGATCCTTGGGTTTTCTTGGTATTTGCGTTTTCATATCATATCGGTTTCAAACTTAAATGTATGGTCGTGACCCATGCCGTCCTCACGCGCTGCTCGCCCACCGCGACTTGAATGAAAAGCGCAAAAAGGAAATCCTATGCGATCCTGCAAACAGCCGAATTCCTTATCTGGCGCCTTTCAGCACGACTGAAAGTTAGTCCAGTTGAAGAGCGGCTTGTTTAGAGAGAATTCGGACGGAATTGTAGACGCAAGACCACTGGCGCGGAGTCTACCGGCTGGTGATCGGCTCCATCTCCCCGTATTGAGGCTGGAAAAATAGAAAAAGAAATTTAGACTTGAGGGACTTGTTTTTGTTAGGAGTTAATTATTAGTGTAAATTTGTTTAGCCTTAGGTATTTGTTGGTCGTTAATATATTTTCTTATTTATTTCTTATTTATTCATTGTTTATTGTTACTATTTATTTATTATTATTATTTAATGGCCTTGTAATTTAAGTATTCGTTTATTTAAGTGCATATTATTTAGTGGTATTTATTCATTATTTATTATTATTTACTAGCATTAGCATTATTATACTAGTGGTCCCATTGAATTCGGGGAAATTAGGGTTTTTTAGAAGTCGTGTTAGGGGTTACCAAAATTCAGGATGTCAAAGCGACAAGGCAGCAAGCATGATCACCTGCTTCGATCGAAGGGTTTTCCAGGCGAGGACGACAAAAAGATGTGATCCACGGATGTGGAGGGCGCTACCGAGGCTGGCTTGCCGCGCATATCGGAAGGGTTGCCCGAGCTGCAGCAGGACCTAAGGCAGCAGCAGATCCTGGAGGGAATTGGTTCCGCGGCGAATGAGTTGTTGCAGCTGGACGATAAGGATGCAAGACTCCTCGATCCTTTTGTGAATTCCGCTGCAAAGTCGGTCGTTAATGTGGCTTTGGCACAGGCGGCGAAGACCCATCGGAAGGCCCAAGAAGGCGGGATCAATCAGGCTTTGAAGGACGAGATTCGAAGTGGCTTCATGGAAATGATGAAGCTGATGAACGAGGTGTTAAGGCCTGCTGCTCAGCGGCCTCAGCTTCCCCTGGAGAGCATGCCGGATGAGCGAAGGCGTCCGGATTCAAGGATCACTGCAGGAATCCCTGGCCAAGCCCCGCAAGGTGCGGTGCCGAGGTGCACAAAGGTCGCCGGCATGGACGGTTCCAGGCCACCTCCGCCGAGGGTGCCACCCAAACCGCCGAGGAGGCCGCTAGATTTCCAGGAGTTGGAGAGTAGCAGTCCCGGATATCCTCCGGACCATGGAAGGTCGCGCCGGGACGATGGCCCGGCCCGAAGCTGGTGCGTTGAGGACCGCAGGGCCTCAGAGTTCCGCCAGGAGCCGCTCCTGTACGCCAAATGTTGGGCCGGCAGCCGCCAACCAGCAATGGCGAATTGAGCGGTGAGGCGTATCCTTCGACGGGGAGGATGAACAAAACTCGGTGGAGGATTTTCTCTTCCGGTTGGATTTCCTGCATCGGCAGTGCCAATGCCCGTGGCAAGGAGTGCTCCGAAACTTCCACGTACTGCTTACTGGGCGGGCTCGGGAGTGGTACTGGGTGCACGTGCGTCACTGCAGAGTGGACAGGTGGTCCCAGATTCGAGCCTCGCTGATGGATAGGTTCCGATGCCACCAGAAGGAGCACGACCGGATGCACCAACTTCTGCAGAGGGAGCAGCAGCTCGGAGAAGAAGTTGGCGATTACGTCCACGCGATGCAGCAGTTAGCGGCCCGTCTGAAAAAGCCACTGACAGAGCGATAGTTGGTTAAGATAATTAGAAAGGGGTTTGAGGGAGAGCATCGCAAGGTTCGTCTACGCGATGGATGTGCTTACGGTGGATGAACTCCGGGAAGAGTGCTGCGAGGTGGAACGCAGTTTTGGACGACGTGGACGGGCCACGTACACGCAGCCGATGCGCTATTCTCCGGCAGAGAAGGCTAAGGTTAGCGAAGCTATTGGCCCAGATCCTGGTGAGGATCCTCCGTGGCACGAGGTGGACGAAGTGCGGGCGAAGCTCAAGAATCCGTTCCGTGCTGCTGGAATTGCGGAGCCGGTGATCACGGGTTCCGTGACTGCGCAGCTACAGAACGCAGACTGTTTTGCTACCGATGTGGGAAGCCAAAAACCGTTCTCCCAAATGTCCGGATTGTGCCGAAAACGGTCGACTGGGCGATCCGAGGGCGGAGAGGATGCGTCCAGACAGGAGTCCCGCAGAGATGAAAAGTTAGTAGAGTTAAATAAATGTTTACCTTCTAAGAATAGTAATAAGACAAATTTACGATACTTACCTTATGCGGAGAGGATGCGTCGGTACCTAGATATCAGAAACAGGATCTTCTCAGAGCATCAGCTAGGCGGGATGCGGATGGTCTCTCGCAAGGTGCAGCAGTCTAGGGATCGATTTCGCAAACGTTGGGTCTGCCGACGCGAAGCAGTGGCCGCCGTGAAGCGGAATTTATCGCGTGATCCCAGACCATTTGCCGCAGCCCGAGTCCTGACCAAGCAACTGACGGGGCTGTTGGACACTGGAGCGAGTGTTAGCCTGCTTGGTAAAGGTGGCAGAGAGCTGGTTGAGGCATTGGATGTGCCCGTCCAGAAGTACTTATCCGCAGTCCGTACGGCGTCTGGAGAGGATCTGTCAATTATAGGACGGATCAAGCTACCGGTGGAATACGGAGGACGGACGGAGCACATTCTCTTCTATTTATGTCCTTACCTGGAGCAGCCAGCCTATTTTGTGGATTTTTGGCAAGCATTAGGACTGGCCCCAGCAATTATAGGCCACATCGATCACGAAGGCGTGATGAAGGCCGAAGAATTACACGTGAGGGAGATGGAGAACTACGCGGAGGTCGAGGATGCCGATGAGGAGAAAGCCGATCCCGAGTCCTGGACGCTTTCCAAAGCCGAGGATCAAGAGCTGGAGGAGATCAAGCAGCAGTTCTTGACTTTCGAGAGCGATGGCTTAGGTACCACCAGTCTGGAGAAGCACACTATTGAGCTGATGAACGGAGCCAAAGTGTTCAAGGATCGACCCTATCCGATGTCTCCCGCGAAGCAGAAAGTGGTCGAGGACGAGGTCGACAAGATGCTAGCGCTCGGAGTGATCGGGGAAAGCAAAAGCCCCTGGAGCAACCGCACCACCGTGGTGTCAAGGTCTGGTAAACACCGGTTCTGCTTAGACGCACGCAAGCTTAATGAGGTGGCCATCAAAGATGCTTACCCGCTGCCCAGCATAGACGGCTTCCTCTTCAGAATTGACCAAACGTACTATATTTCCAGCGTGGATTTGAAGTTCGCTTTTTGGCAGATTGAGTTGGACACTATCGGTCGATGGTCGGTCTCTTTACCAGTTCCGGGTGATGCCTTTCGGACTCTGTAACGCATCACAGAGACTGGTGAGACTCATGGACCGAGTAATTCCAGCTGAGACCCTCTCGAATGTGTTTGTCTACTTGGATGACCTGCTAATACTAGCGCCAGACATGAGAACGCACATGAAGTATCTTCGCCGAGTCGCTAAATGCCTGAAAGAAGCAGGGTTAACCATAGGTCTGAACAAGTCGAAGTTTTGCTTCAAGTCTTTCACCTACCTCGGCTTCATAGTGGGTGGAGGACGTCTGCGGATGGATCCAGGGCATGTAGTAGCCATTAGGCGGATGCCTGAGCCAAGGACCATGAAGGAAATGAGAGCCTTTCTTGGAACCGCTGGTTGGAAACGTCGGTTTATAAGGAACTTCGCGACGTTGGCAGCCCCGCTCACGGAATCCTTGAAGAAGACGGGAAATAAGAAGTGTTCCTTGAGTCCAGAAGCACAGTTGGCAGTAGAGTCCTTGAAGATGTCCCTAACTACTGCGCCAGTGCCGGTACATGCGGACTTCAAGCGGCACTTTTTCATCCAGTGCGATGCATCCCAAATCGGAGTCGGTGCAGTGTTGTTCCAGCGGGATGAAGACGGCCAGGAGCAACCAATAGCGTTCTTCTCGGCCAAGATCAATTGTCACCAAGTCCACTACACCGTCACCAAAAAAGAATGCCTAGCAGCCCTGCTAGCCATTCGGAAGTTCCGGCCGTATGTGGAAGGAATGCCGTTTACGTGCATCACGGATCAGGCCAGCTTGAAGTGGCTTATGTCCATGAAAGACCTTTCGGGACGGCTGGATCGGTGGTCATTGCAACTCCAGGGATATAACTTCAACATCGGAGACAGGAAAGGAAGCGAGAACGTCGTGGCAGATACGCTTTCACGTCGTGTTGAAGAGCTAACGATGGACCCGTCTGAGTTACTCGGCTTCGAGACCACTGAGTTTGCTGGGGAAGAGTACACGGAGTTGTTACAAGAAGTGGAAAGAAACTTGGCCATCCTACCTGACTTGAGGATAGTAGATGGTCTCATCTTCAAGAGAGTCTCTTCTTCAAATCTGGATGACGAGGTGGAGGGCTTCGAATGGAAGTTGTGGATTTCCAGAGTCTGACCCACAGCATAATTGAGCGTGCACATTCGGATCCAACAGCAGCTCATGCCGGAATGAGAAAAACTCTGGAAATCCTACGGTGGCAGTTTTACTGGCCTGGCATGGCACTGCAAGTCTGGGTGTCCATACGTAGGTGTGAAGTCTGTAAGGAAACGAAATCCCCGAATTTCCGGATGCAAGTTGGTATCGGTGAGAGAGTCCAGACTGAGCAGCCATTTCAGAAGCTGTTTATCGATTTCCTGGGGAAATATCCGAGGTCGAAGAAGGGACACGCCAACATCGTTATTGTGGTGGATCCCTTCTCCAAATACACTTTTCTGAAAGCCATGCAAGAGGCATCGGCCTCAAGTGTAGTGGAGTTCCTCATTCACGAGGTTTTCTACAAGTTTGGGGTTCCAGAAATAGTGCATTCGGACAACGGCCGCCAGTTTACGTGCAAGATTTTCGAGGAGGCGATGGAAAGCTTTGGCATTACGCACATCAAAACGCCAGTCCACTCTCCGCAAAGCAACGCAGCGGAAAGGGTAAACCAAAGCGTGTTGGCGGCAATCCGAAGCTACTTAGAAGAAGACCATCGTGAATAGAACGCGTATCTTCCGGAGATTGAGGTGGCCATCCGCAACGCGGTTCATTCAGTAACTGGAGAAGCTCCGTTCTTCACCGTGTTCGGACGGCACATGTTCCTGAACGGAGCCAGCTACAAGTTGGCAAGGAAGTTGAAGTCGCTGTGTGATCATGAAATGGCGGGGATGGGAACGGCTGATAAAGTGATCCATGACAAGGTGCAGAAGAACCTCGAAAATGCATATGAGCGGTACGACAAAAGGGATCGTACTTTCCTTGCGATTTTAAAAAGACCTTTAATGCCAAATTTGCTCGGAAGTTCCTGAAAGCTCGGGTGGTCAAGGCAGTCGGCAATAATGAGTACGAGCTCGAAGATCTTCAAGGACGACCGATCGGAGTGTACCATGCCAAGGACATTATGTTGTGATCTGGAAAGAAGAACCACAAAGTACACGAGCTCAGAGTCGGAATGAGTATACTTCCCGAAAAGCGTGGGCCCCGCGTTGGACACCGTTGGAACTGCATCTTGGTATCGAGGCCGGCTGAATCCGGTTGGTCCAAATCCAAATGCTCCCAAGTATTCCTGTGCTTGTCTAAAACTCTGTGTTAGCGTCTCTCGGAATCCAGAGTGGTGTTGCATTTTTTGTTGAAGCCGTCGGGAAAATACCAAAAAACCGATACGTAAGCAGGTCCCGCTATCGATAAGATTCGGTGGTGACACCGACTGTTGATAGCGGGAGAGGATCTAGCTATTTAGATTTATCCCGGTTCGCTCGTTAACTGGGTTAAATGGCCTTGGATACGTTCACTGATCCATTTTGGGAGAGCGGGAGGGAAAATGGCGAGCGACTTTGGTGTAGGTCAGGGTCGTGAAGACCACGTCGTCCACCAGCAGCAGAGATCCGCTCCAGCAGCAGCGATCAGCTTCAGTAGCGGCAGCGATTAGTGGCATCAACCGCAGCAGCATTAGCAGCAGTGATCCGCCGCAGCAGCATCAGCGCAGCAGCATCAGCGATCAGCAGCATCAACAGCCTTCCGCGTCAGCCACTTACGGAGATTCCCTCGGTGAGTCCGTTCCGGGAACGAATACCCGCGCTGACCACCTGATCATCTCTGGGACCACCGACGCACTGCCTCCGGGCCCTCTGGCGCAGACGCTGTGTGAATCCTCCGGACCACTTGGCTCCGTGCAGACCCGGCTTTCGCCGCTAGCGGTCTCCTCTTCTGGTCGCAGTTGCGACAATGACCAACGTTGAACTCTGAAATAAATTGGTTTTAGTAATTAATTTGTGAAATCAGGCAGTCAAAGAATCGTTTCAAATTAGAGGCATTAATTCCGCACCCCAGCCGCGCGTCCAACTACGTTTTAATTGGGTCGCGAAATTAAATGAACTAATGGATTTATTTGGCGTACTTACCCTTTTAGCACGTCCTTTCTTTTCCCTTGGAGCTCCTCAGGATTAGGTGACCCGGTTGGCAAACGCCTCCAATTTGGTGCAGTGTAATTCACATCCGTTGGGTTTTTTCCCAAACACTTGTAATTTTAAGCGTCCAAAAATTTCCCTCCCATTATCGCTTTGACCACTTCTCATCTAGGCGACGCTCTGAGTTCGGCCTTAAGTGTTGCTAATGAAAAGAGTAGATTACGAGTAGGAATTAAATTTGAATGTATTCTATAATTAGTCTTGCCCAAAATTAAATGTAAGCAAGCTACCGAGATGGTAGTGTGAGTTACCTTGGGCGGTCCGAAGCCACCAATTTCGTCCAATTGTCTTAGTTTTTGATGTAAAAAAAATACCTTGGTTGTTTTGATTTGTGATAGTGATGGTAATCGTCAAGTCAGTGACGTGAGACGTCCGATGAGTCGGTATCGATTGTTTGGACTGCAGGGCATAGGAAGTACTCCGCCCTGGGACTCCGTGGCTAGCCGGCGCTGCCCTCCGGGAAAAATGCAGTTCCATAACAAAGGCAACTATATAATGCACTCATCACAGAGTTCAACAATCTGGACTACGTTTCACCAAGCGGTCCTACATACTGGCCTACAGATCCTACAAAACAACCTGAGTTATTTGATTTTGCTATGACAAAAAATATCCCTCGCAATCTAATATCTGCAAAATCGTTTCTGGATCTATAATCGGACCACCCACCAGTAATAACCTGGAATTAGTCGAGCACCCTTGCAGGCTGACGTCGCATCGAACCAACTGGCTGAAGTTCAAAAAGTAAGTAAGTTCCCACATTGAACTAACTCCACAGCTCAACATCAAGGAGGACATCGACTGCTATGCCGATGCACTGGAGTCCAACACAAAACTAACCTTGAAATCGAACAACTTGTTTTGGAGAAAAGACGTTTGAGGCGTGCTTGGCAAACCAGCAGATCGCCATCCTCAAAACATAGCCTGAAGGAAGCTGGTCGCAGACTTACCAGGGCTCTAAGGTACGAAGAAGAAAAAGCACAACGCCAGTACATTGGGAAACTTTCACCCACCAGCACCAAGCATCCCTTGTGGAGGGCCCACCCAAATCTAAGTGCGCCGTCCGAAACAGTAACTCCCATAAGAGACTCTTCAGGCAGCTGGGCCAGAAGCGACAAAGACAGAGCTTGTACATTTGCTTTACACCTTCAAAATGTTTTTCAGCCAAACCCTGCAAATAATTCACTCACACTACTACCGTCAATTGAAATTGGAAATGAGACGTTGCCAATTCTGTTTCCACCCAACGAAGTTGCAAAAGTCATAAGCGAGCAATTAAAAACAAAAAAGGCCCCAGACGGTGATCCTAAGATGCTAATTGAACTCCCAAACTGTACAGTTAGGTAATTTATAAACTTTTTAACGACTTGGCTACTTCCCAAAAAAAAGAAAAAAAAAGATAATCATAATGATCCCAAAGCCAGGAAAAGATCACACAATACCAGCTTCATACAGACCGGTAAATTTACTCTCGTAAATTTAAGCCAGAAGCTTCGACTGGATCTTAAACGCTCGATCTGTTATACAACTCCTCTCTCAAGCCTATCTGTATGTATGGCTCCCAGCTATGAGGGAACGCGAGCTGCAGCAACATAGACTTTATACAGCTTGCACAATCCTGAGAACTTTCACTATGAAACCGTGGTATTTTCGCAACAAAAACATCTACAGGGACCTCGGCATTCTTGCAGTAAAAGAAAGAGGCTGAACATGTAGAAACGACTCAGGGCAGTACTAGTCATCGGGTACTGTGCTGTCCAAATCTTCCTCCATCGGTTTACAATCACTCCATCAAGTTAAAAGAACGGCATCCATTACTCCATCTTAACACCAGCCTGAAACCCGGGCTCCGGCATTGTCACTAACTGCTTTGCTGCAACTCAGAAATTCCAAACTACATCATACGGCAACGATCCTGGTTCACAATGCCTCAATGGTGCGAGCTTTTCACCCCAAATGGATCTCAATTGGCAGCGAGGATAGTGATAAGGTTCAAAATGACATCCGAATTCAGGTTGGAAGTCTACCTGAAGATTGATCCGCATCTCCACCACCGCACTTTAACTACTGGAATTGCCACGCGAATTCGTGGCACCACATCACTCTGACGGATGGGCAATCAAACATCCCATCCACATTGGCTATTATTTTAGGATCTGACGTTTTTTCGGACGTTATACGCGCAGTTTCGCAGATGTCTAGCTGGCACCAAATCTGAACTGAACATGAACATTATATAAATGAAAACCAAGTTGTTCATTTTGTTTTTCCTCTAAAAGGGCATTGTTTAAATAACTTTATTTAAAGCAAATGTTTTAAGTTTTATTTATTTTGCAGTAATATTAGGTAACAGAATTCAAACGTTAGACAGGGCATATTATTTATAAGGGTTTACATTTGCTTGAATTTGATTTTTTAATTTTACATTAGCACTTTTTAGTTATCACTTTGTAGAAAAGTCCGGCCAATAGTTTATATAGTATTTTTGTGTTCTCCCATCAAACAATCTAACAAGCCAATCATCCAGGCTATTAAGTAAATTATCTTCCAAAAGAATATTTGCTTCTGCCTCAGACTCTTCAGAGTTATATTTTTCAAGAAAAGTTCCAACCTCAGGATCCTCCATTGTGTCCAAAAGAACATTTGTTATTTTTAAGATTCTCTGAAATAGAACAGAAGTATAGCAAAATTACTTATTAGTTTTAAAAGGAAAGGAACTTATATCAGTTATTTTTGAAAAGGTATAAAGCCAGACGTTTGTGACTTAACATGCAGGTTCTAGTTATGTCATAGCGAAAGTCTGTCATGTCACTATGAGATCTGTAAAAAGCCGGGTTTAAATCTGTATATATTTATTACATTATTTGAAAAGTTATTGCCATAAATGTAAACTCATGATATATGAACATTCGAGGAACTGCTTGCTTTTATCTTATAGTAGTACCCTGCAGTTTGGAAGATGGCGGCAACTAAAGCCCAATAGTTTTCTGGGGGTTATTTATTTTGAAATTAATAAGCAAGTGTCTAATAGTTGGGACCTACAAGCATTTAATCACTGAATCATTCATGCAGACAACTTGGGGAATCAAAATCACCTGATTCAATTACTTACAAGCAAGCAAGTAAATAATGTTTGTTGAGGCCTAAAGCTTTCTAAACAAATAAGCACGGCTTTAAAGTTGCAGAAGACGTTATAATTCTTATTTAACAAGGGGGAAATTAGTCGAGAGCCTCCAATTTAGAGTTGTTCACAATAGAATTCGATGTGGGTACGACAAAAGTAATTAGTTCGGGCCAAAGACAATCAAGTGAAGAGCGATCCTAACTTCAGGTTGGCCCATAAAAAACTATACTGCATTCGGAGCTGCAGCTCAAGTCGCTAGGCGACAATAACAGAAGGGAAGAGGTATAAAGAGAGATTGGGAGAAGACCAGGCACATCCAACTTGTCCCTAGCCCAAAACAAACTTTATCTGCTGTGGTTTTCGGGACGTTAACTTAATCTCGGATTGCTAGGAGGCTGAATTCAGTAGCAGTCATAATTAAAGCAACAGGCATCACTCCATCTGCTCCTGGTATGAGTTGAACGACAGTCTCTGGACAATTTAGAGGCGGTAGGTTTTCATCTTTGACAAGAACGTCATCATTGAATCGAAGTTGATATATCTGTTGAAATTTGTGTGTTGTCCAAAAAATGAGCAAGAGCTAGTGCCTCAAGATCTGCAGGTTTCTCTGAAATGGGAAACAATGCTCTCGAACTAATAATCGAGAAAACGTTGCAGCTCATCAAATTTCAGCAACAACGATTCCAGGGCGCGAGATCATATTATGCAGATTTAATTAAAGCTTCCCATAAGTCACCGAAGTGTGGGTACCTCGAGTGAATAAATCGTCAATCAATGCAATCGGTAATAATTAATAAAAAGCCGCTTGGTGAGAATCGCTTAGAAACAATGCTTTCAACTCGGATTGCTCGTTTTTGGCTGCAACGAAATTTGTAGCATTATCTGAGCAAATCCGACTTGGACGCCCGCGAGCGCATATAAACCGTCTCAGGGTAGATTGGAGCTTGTGTTAAGAGGTCTTTTAGAGCTACATACATGTGAATTGTTTTAGTAGAAAAGCATATGAAAATTATCAGATAGCATTTGGTAGGTTTACAAACTTAAGACTTTTGCAGGAATGGTCCACAATAGTCCACGCCGGTATTTACGAATGCTCGCGATTTGGTCACACGTTCAACGTGTAGATCATCCGCTGTTTGCTCTTACGTTCGAAGACTTGAATCATCTCACAGATTTCTGGGTGACAAGAGATACGGTTTTCCGACCTCTTATTAGTCAGTAAGTCTGTCGTATAATAACCTAAAGCAGTTGAGGTCCTGCGTAAAGATGCGTGACATGGAAATGCATAATAATGTAGAGATGCAAAATTTTAAGTAGAGCTTCCGAGTCGCCCACCAACACGCAATAATCCGCTTTCATCTAAAAATGGATCGAATTTGATGGCTTGGTCGCGATTTATGAATCCGTATTTCATTTCCTAATTGAGACTTTTATGTCAATCGCAAAAGCAATTTCGTTCCCTGGCGAATATCATCCACTTTTAAGCCAGATCAGTTTGCAAATATATGCGAATAAATTAACGAATAAGATTATTTTCCTAGTCTCCAATGATGGACACTGGTCCTTGCTTTTCGTTAAGTATGCCGGCCCATGCACCGAAAGTCTGGAGCTGATAAGGTAAGCTGGTAGCATGATACAATAACTAAAAGTAGTCTTATCGTGCTAAGCCTAGTAAGTGCAAGCGATTCAACAATAAAATGTATCGGTTTACCCTTAGATTGTGCGAGGGGTTAAAATTTGCCTCTTACAATACAAAAATGTTTCACAATTTAATTTTTTATTAATTCTGAGTGGGATACTAGTCGTTATTTTTGTTTTTGTAGAGAAAGTTTTTTGATAAGTAAGAACCTTAAAATTAAATTCTTATCTTAAAATATAATTTTTTTATATCTAAGTTATTTAATTACATATTTACATTTTCAGTAGTTTTCTTAACACTTGTTTATTTTGTTATTTTAAAATTATCATTAGCAAGACCTAAAAATATGAGATTCAACTATTTAATTTTGTCTATGAATTGGACACACACAACCTTTTCCGTCAACAACAGCTGACGAGACTTCCTTTAGTTATTGTATCATGGCTGGTAGAGCACTACCGACACAAAATCCGCGTATCTCAAGGCTGTTGTTTTGAACGAATCGTACTTGAAGGAATGATACTTTCTGCATTGAAGGAAGGCTCTCATCCCAAAGAAGTTTTTCGTTCCATAACTGTTGAAGTCATTTGATTCAGGTCGCGTGCAGACGTGTATTCTTAACGCTCCGGAAAAACAATTAGTCACTCAGTCGAAAATGTTCGAAAAAATGTATAAACGCGAGGATTTGCGATTTGCGATTCGCGATGCTAATTCGCATATCGTAAACTAAAGTTTTAATTAATTAATTTATTAATCTTTACGCACTAACAATAATCAAAAGAGTAAGAACGTGGATCAGCGCATTCAACGCCAAAAACAACAAGACGAAGCCCATTAAAAAACTCAGAGAGAGCAAGTCAAACGTCGTCTCTCCTTGGCCCGTAACAATGCTTATTTATCTTTCACGAGTAATACTATAGAACCGAAAGCGCAAGAAATTGCAAGTTTACTGACCGCCGAAAACCAGAGAGCTTGTTCTTGCTCTGCCGCCCTACTTTTCACTGCTCAAACGCCATGGAGTGAGCAATGCAAATCTCCAACCGAGCTTCTGCCACCTAGTGCAACAACAACAGCAACTACTACGTCAACTACAACGGTCTCTGTCGCCAGCAATGGGTAAAGCAACAACCAAGTGTAAAAATCTGGTCAAACGGCAAAAGCAAAGCTACGGTAGGTGAAAGGTCAATTCCGCAAGCAGGTTCGGCGATGCAGACAGGCATGGATCGCTACATAAATATTTCCAAACGCAAGCTAACACCCCCAAAAAAATCTGACGGCGATATGCCCAAAATAAACCGTACCAACAAAGGCCCTGAAAAGCTCGGGCCATTAAATGAAAATTGATTTTCCATTCTGGCGGAGCTTGAAACAGAGTCTGAAGAATTAGCCCCAAAGAAACTTAAGCCCCCACCTATCTATGTTCGGGAGAAGGTCTCCAATGTCCTAGTCAACAAAATTGTTGAGCTTGTCGGAAAAGATAGCTTTCATGTTATTCCGCTTATGAAAGGGAATATAAGCAAAACCAAACTTCAAACCAAAACAGAAGATGATTTCCGAGCAGTGTCGAAGTACTTAAACGATGTAAAAAAAAATAACTACACGTACCAACTGAAAATTTGCAAAGGCTTACAAGTTGTGCTCAAGAGAATAGAATCCGATGTGACCCCCTCCGAAATTATAGAAAACTGTTTTTGCGCAAAAAATTTTATAAATATTATGAACAAAAACAAGAAGCCGCAACCACTTTTCAAGGTCGCATTGGAGCCAGACAGCAGAACTTTGAAAAAAAACGCAGAGCACCCGATCTACAAGTTGCAGTACCTTCTGCACCGTAGGATCACAGTTGAAGAGCCGCACAAACGGAACGGGTCAGTGCAATGCACAAATTGTCAGGAATACGGACACACCAGGGCTTACTGCACCCTCAGGTCAGTTTCTGTAGTTTGTGGAAACTGCCACGGCTCCGAACCCTGCCCTGCCAACAAGGAAGACTCTCTCACCAAAAAGTGTGTATGCTGCCAAGGAAACCTCACAGCAAACTACAGAGGTTGTCCATTCTACAAGGAGATGAAAAGTCGGATGCAACGAGCGACAACGGCACGCCAGAACAGTTACATGAAATCACAAACGACACCGGAAGATTTCTTCGCAATAGCAGCCAGTTCATCATTTGGGCCTTCAATTACCACCAACGGCATTTCCTACGCCAGTGCTCTAAGATCAGGCACAGCTCACATAGAGCCGAAAATTGATAACATTCAGCAGGCCATGGGACAGCCACAAAGTAATATGGAAACTATGATGATAACTTTGCAACAAAATATAATGTATTTATGTCCTTCATGAAAACCATCATGCAATCTCTAATGCAAAACCAAAATATCTTGTTACAAATGCTTGCAGCTCAGCAGTCCAAATAAATTATGTCCAGCCTTCGAATAACTCTGTGGAACGCCAACGGTGTTTCACGGCATATAACTGAAATAACTCAATTTCTGAAAGAAAACCACATCTACGTTATGTTGCCGGAAGAAACGCATCTCACCAGAAAATATAACTTTCAAATACGGGGATACACATTCTACGGCATCGATCATCCATATATTTAAGCACATTGCGGAACCGGCATCCTAATAAGAGACCGCATCAAACACCACTTTCACCAAAAAATTATCTGCAAGCTACATCGATAAAATTACAATGGGACAACTGAAACCTTGCCATTGCCGCTGTCTACTGCCCATCCCGCTTTACAGTCTCCGAAGACCAAATTATGGACTTCTACAATTCACTTGGAGATCGATTCATAGCAGCAGGTGATTACAACGCCAAGCACACACACTGGCACCCAAAGGAAGGCAACTATATAATGCACTCATCAAAACATGCAACAAACTGG